TCATTATGTCCTCCAGAATCTGAATCGTTCTCTCAGATTGACCATCCGTCTAAGGGTGAAATGTTGTACTGAAATTGAGCTTAGTATCAAGAGCCTTCTGAAGACTCTTCTAGAATTGAGACATGAATCGTGGGTCGCGATCTGAGATGATAGACACATGCACTCTATGCAGTCTCACAATTTCTTGAATGTAGAGCTTAGCTAACTTCTACAAGGAAAATCTCTTTGGATAGGAAACAAGTGAGCTGACTTAGTCAATCGGTCCTCAATGACCCACACTGTGTCATTCTTCTTGTTTGATAGGGGTAGGCCTATCACAAAGTCCATCGTGATCCTCTCCCATTTCCACTTAGGGATAACTGGTGGATGTAGCAATCCACTCGGCACTTGATGCTCCGCCTTGACTTGCTGACAAGTCAAGCATCTAGATGTAAATTCCGAAATTTCATGTTTCATCGTCGACCACCAATAATTCTTCTTGAGATCTTGATGCATCATATTGCTACTAGGGTGCATGGTGTACACGGTCTCATGAGCTTCTCGTAGGAACCGTTCTCTCACCTCAGCGTCAGGTACCACTAGGCGGTCCCGATAGAACAAAACTCCATTGCCATCAATAGTGAAGTCTTGTCTCTCCCCCTTATAGAGAAGCTCACACGTCTTCACATAGAAGTCGTCTGTAGCCTGAGCCGTACGGATCTCACTGTCCAGCATCGGTTGCAGTCAGAGTTCAGCCATAATCTTTCGGCTCAAGGCATCAGCCACAATATTGGCCTTTCCTAGGTGATAGTCGATGTAGCAATTGTAGTCCTTTATCAGTTCTATCCATCTCCGTTGCCTCAAATTCAGTTCCTTATGGGTTAGAAAATACTTTAGACTCTTGTGATGAGTGTGGATATAGGTAATCTCAGCAAACAAGTAATGCCGCCAACTCTTCAACGCAAATACCACCATAGCTAATTCCAGATCGTGCGTAGGGTAGTTACCCTCGTGAGGTTTCAATGTCGTGAGGTGTAGGCCACTACCGTACCCTCCTGCATAAGCACACAGCCGAGTTTACTGTGAGATGCGTCGCTCAAAACTGTGTAGTCTACGCCAGGCACTGGTTGTACCAACACTGGTGCCTCGGTCAAACACTTCTTGAGTTTCTCAAAACTCTGCTGACATGCGTCAGTCTATGCAAATTTCACATCTTTCTTCAGCAACTTGTTCAACGGTGATGCAATGGATGAGAAGCCCTCCACGAAGCACCTGTAGTAACCAGCTAATCCGAGGAAGCTCCTCACCTCCCGTGCATTCCTCAGACTCTTCCACTCTGTTATAGCTGATATCTTACTGGGATCCACCTTGATGCCCTCGTTGGAAATCACATGCCCTATGAATGTGACTTCGTTGAGCAAAAATTCGCACTTTGACCGCTTGGCATAGAGCTTGTGCTCTCTTAGCACACCAAGTACCGTCTGCAAGTGTCTCGCATTCTCCTCTGGTGTCTTGGAGTACACCAGAATGTCGTCGATGAACACCACAACATACTAATCTAGGTAGGGATGGAAGACACTGTTCATCAAGTCCATGAAAATCGACGGGGCATCCGTCAGCCCAAACGGCATCACTGTGAACTCATAATGCCCATAAAGTGTTCAGAAAGCTGTCTTCGGTATGTCTTCTTTCTTCACTAGGATCTGATCGTAACCTGACCAAAGGTCTATCTTTGAGAACATCGTAGCTCCTCTAAGCTGATCAAATAAGTCATCAAATCGCGGTAGCGGGTAATGATTCTTAACGGTGGCTTTATTCAGCTGCCTGTAGTCAATATATAGTCTCATGGATCCATCCTTCTTCTTGACGAAGATGACTGGTGCTCCCCACAGGGACACACTTAGTGTGATGAATCCCTTATCCAATAATTCTTGCAGCTGAGCCTTTAGTTCCTTCATCTCCCCAGGTTCCATGCGGTATGGAGTCACAAAAATTGGCTGGTGGTCCCAAAGTGGTGAGATACAAAGTCTATAGGGGGGGTGAATAGACTTTGTTACAATTTAAAAACTTTTTCGTTTCTTTTGAAAACGTGAAGGTGAATGTTAATCTAGAGTTCTTGTGAACTTTAGATTGTGTGCAGAAGTTAATGGGTTGTTAGAGCAGTAATCAATATGGATGGGTTTGTTTCACAGTTAATATAATTGCAAGTTTGAGTAAAGATAAAAGAGAGAGACACGCAAACTTTGACGAGGTTCAAGGTGGGGTAATCCTTCTACGTCCTCAAAATCCACTATGTAGTTGGTTGTTGAATAATGAACCAACAATTACACTTGTGTGAATTTCTGCACGCTATATCTTCGCAAGGCCAATGTTGCTACTGCACTCGTGCTGGCTTTGTTGTTACTTCGAAGGTCACGCTTCTTCAAAAACTGCAAGATCCGAACAATAGGACTTGCAAGATCAACTTGTAAGAAAGTTGATGTACCTCCTTTTTAATCAAGAAGTTTGATTAAAAGTTATATCCTTCAACGTGGTGTGGTACTTGAGGCAAGGAAACCTTCAAGTGTTTACACTATAGCTCTTTGGAAGGAGGAGAAGTTTGCTTCTGGATAAGGAGTTTAGAAATCTCTCTTTATCAAGCTTTTTGGGCTAACTTGGAATGTGATAGCTTTGTAGTTTGAGATTGCTTCATTGTGTTCTCTTCTCTTGCAGTCTTCCAAGGATGCTATTTATAGCTGGATTGGGTAATCTATCTGTTGAATCAAAATAGACTATCCGTTGCATTTGCTGGCTTCAATTTTGAATGAAGATTGTGATTGAGGATTCCTTATTGGAATGGGTGTTTTGGACATACCCAATTATTTGAGGAGGGATTCCTTTTTTTCACAGAATCCGTCTTCTAGCGGTTGTTCAAGAATTCTGGACTGTAGCTCCTTACTCAGTTTGTCTTCTAGTGCTTGTTTAGGAATTCTGGGCGAGCTCTTCAATTTGAGAAGTCCAGACTTTGTCTTTAATCCATTTTTTCTTGAATCAGCATAATTATCTTCAATCTAGCCGTTGAAAATCAAGAGATTGATTTTTCCTTACCAACGGGTAGAATTTCCTCATTCAAGACTTAGATAATTTTCTAAGTCTTTTTCTCACTTGTCTGCTTTTGCGAATTCCGGTCTTTCTTTGAGACATCCGGTTCTTTGCTGACAAATCCAGAAAAGTCATTCATAGACTTCCAGGTGAGAAGAGATCCGCGCTAGTCTTCCGATTCGGATGACTTAGCCTTCAGCGGGTGGTAGCGAGACATCTGGTTATCATGTAGTGTTCCGGATTAGAGAATCTTCAATTGCTTTGAGAATTTCTTACTTGTCTCTGACATTTCCGATCAAGATATCCAATTTCCATATCACTGAATTTGATTAAGTCTTCAACCATTGACATCAAACCACAAAGTGAAATATCAAAAATTTATTGGATATCTCAAGAACTCGGTTTTAACAATATTTCTAAAAAGAAATATTACATTGAATATTGGGGGAGACCTAAAGTCCCTATTACAATCTAAATACATCATCATCAAAATCTATAATATTTTTCCCAACAATTTCCCCCTTTCTGATGATGACAAACAAGTGTTTAAGAGTTTCGGTCGCTGTACTGAGAACTAATTTTATAACTTTCTTTTAGTTTCTCATAATATACAGCTTGTTAACAAAAACTCTTAAACAAATACAATTCAAATTACAATAATTCCTAAACCAAGTCTTGTCTTGAGATTTGTGATATTTTCTGCCATTTGCTGCTTTTCTTTCCAGCGGATTTTGCTTGGAAGTTCAGATGGTGTTGCGTTTGATAGATCTTTAATATCCAAAGTGGATATTTGACATCTAGGAAGCAACAACTACTCTCCAAAAAGCAAAAACAAAAACAAAAAGAGAATGGAGGGAAAGGAGGAGGCGGTGAAAGGAAAGAAAAAGAGAGAAGGACAAGAAAAGGTTTTGAAAAAGATGAACAAGCCTGGAAAGAGAGAGAGGATTGTATCGCCAAAAAAAATTTGAAAAAGGCTTGGGAGAAGGGTGTAGAGACAGTAGAAAATATTTAAAATTAATTTTAAAATAAAAAGAAAGAAAACAAAGAGAGAAGGGAAGAGGGTGAGATGAAAGTAGGCCAAGAAAAATTTTAAAAACAAAATTTGAAGACCAAAAAAGAGAAAAGGAAAAAGAAGAAACAAAATTGGAGAGAGTGTTGTTTCTGAGAAGGTGTATAGTGAAATCTTGAAAAATACGAGATTTTCAGCATATACCTTCTCTACTGCCGAGATTTTCACCATAGACCTTGAATGTCTTTTCTTCTCATTAGGCTTTCTCCATTGCCGTCTATGAGGGTGAGAAAGAAAAATTTCTCCATTGAGGATATTTTTATTGGTGTTTTTCTCAGACAGTGAGTTTAAAGAGTTTTCATGTTGAAAGAGTTGTTTGTGATAGGATTTGCTTGGAATGTCTTGGTGTAAATAGGAGGAGAGGTTGAGTGAGGGGAGATTCACGGGTTTCATTAAGTGGGTAGTTGGAACGGTGAGAGTAAAAGAGTTTGAACTTCCAAGAAGTTGAATTTTGAAAAGTTGAAGGAATCTTTTACCAGTTGCCAAGGTGTTGAAACTGTTCCAATTAAAATCAGTTTCGTTTGATTTGAAAAACGTAACTGTTTTGGTTTGGCTAAGCCCAAAAGAGTGGCCTAAAAAACATCTATGCACTAAAGAGAAATTATTCCTATTGGGTTCTCAAGGCCCAAAATAAAACTATCATTTTTCATTCCCTATAGTTCTAATTTTTAATTAGGACGAGGTAGTACCAAAAAAATATGAAATTCATTTTTTAAAAGAAAAGTGGTACTATTTTTCCAAAGTCCTGTACATTATAAAAATCCTAAGGACCAGAACTTTAGAGTAAAGTTGGAAATGAACTAAGGATTAAATATTAGTTTAAGAAGGCAGATTTTGTAAAGTACCTGAATCGGAGATCTCCAACTTTAGTACTTAAACTAGAGTTTTAGTGTCCTTCAGTGTGGCTATTTGAGTTTCTCTTTCAGCTTCTACAGAACTTCTCTGGATTTCTACAGCTTGGATTTCTTGAGCTTCATATGCAGTTGTCTCTGGAGGAGTGAACTTCTCCAAATTCTCTGCTGACTTCTCCGGAACTCAAGTTTAGGCTGATTGGAGATCTCACAAGGAGTTGTGAGAATCTATTGAACTTGAGATTGTAGGAGTTGAAGAAATTCTTCCTCTGATGCTTCCTGGTTCTGTTCTTGTTGTGGAGAAGCTGCATTCTCCTAGACAGCTTCAGGCAGAACAGTCTCAAAAGCATGGGAGGTTTCCGGAAAGACTTGGAAATCCTCTGCTGTGGCTTCCATATTAGCTTGTGCTTCAGTGGTGAGAGCCATGTGATCTTCTGTTACCTTTGAAAAGATTGGTGTGTAGACTGAAGGATCCTCATCATCAACCTCAAATTCTGAAACTGGTGAGGTGGCCAAGTGTTTCAGATGCAAATCTTCATAGTTTCTTTACCACACGTAGTCAACATGCAGAATTTGCTCACAGCAATGATTGACTGGCAGTCCTAAGCATTTCTTGATTATCTTTTCATTTTGTAGTTGTTGATCCCATCCCAACAACTGCTCTGTTGAGTTTCCGACCTTCCAAGCTCTCCAGTCATAGTAAAGCTGCATGAATTGACTCTCTACTTCATGTGTTTGAGCTTGTAGTGGAGGAGATGGAAAACTCTGATCTTGAGGAGTTTCTTCATTCAGTTGTTGAGGACTCTGGTTGTGTGTAGAGTTTTCCTCAACTGGTTCCTTTCCCACCAACTCATCCGGGTTGGCATTTCTAGATGTGGAGGGAGAGATAATTCTTCTTTTCTTCTTCTTCTAAAGTTCCCCCCTGGGCAGTGACTTCTTCTTCTTTATCCAGATTCGCCTCTGCCAAGGTGTGTGGAGCTTCAACACTGGGAGAGGGAGACACCACATGCTTTCTTTTTGATGACTTCTTCAGACTCATGATAAGAACATTGTCTGAAGAACTTTCTTCTGCAGTTGAACTGACTTTGTTTTCTCCTTTTGAAGATAGATAGTAGAGCCAATATCTGGCATCATACTTCTTGCCTTCAGTGGCAATTCCCATGGACTCTAGAATATACCCAAGGTACCATCCTTGACACAAATATTTCTGTTTGGGCTTTCCTAAGTGCTTGGAAATGGAATTGAAGAAGTGTTTAGCCCAGTTTACCTTAGTTTTGGTAATGAGGGCGTTGATGATGAATGCCCTTTCTTGAGTGATGTCATCAGCATGCCCTCCACTGCCGCATTCAAGGCATGCGATGATCAGTTCTAGAACTAACTTGTAATCATTTTTCAAATCGGCCTTCTTCGCTGGGCTAGAGGAGATTTGCCCAGAAATTCCAATAATCTTCCAGTCCAGATTCTTGGCCGGAAGCCTCCCAATTTCACTTCCAGAATTGGGAAGATGAAGCTTTTCCATCAATTTCTTCTGTGAAATCTTTACTTTGGCGCCTCCAATACTGGACTTGATAATTTGAATCGTCCTCTGTGGGTTCTTCCTCGATTGGACAGTCTTGACCTTTCCGTTCTTGTAGAATTCAAGAACTTCGTCGTCATATTTGGAGCGAATCTCCATGTGAAGAAATTCAGTGAGTTCATGAGCAGCAATCATCTCCAGATAGGATTGATAGAACGCCGGTGAAGAGCACTTGGCTTCCAATTTCTTGAAATAGACATTAGCGCCAACAATCTTCATTTTCTCTGAGATTTGAGTGAGAAAACCTGAAGAAATTAGGGTTTTTGAGAATTCTATTAGAGAGTTCTTGTGAAGAAGACGATGAAAATTTGAGTGGGCTGTTGAGATCTGAATATAGTGGCGATTGGGTTTAATTTTGGGCGATTTATGCGGCTAGTGGCGATTGGGTTTTCAACTGTTCCCAAGGCCACGTGCCTACCCAATACTTTAATATACGTGGAAAGTGGACTGCCACGTGTACCGCACTTAGTCTAATTGAATTAGACCAATTTTGAGAAGTAAGTCGGAAAACTTGGCTTCACTTAGTGGTTTTGTGAAGATATCCGCCAATTGTTCTTCAGTTGAAATATACTCAATTTTGATATCTTTCTTTTTCACATGATCTCTGATGAAGTGATGCTTGACATTAATGTGCTTAGTCCGAGAATGATGCACTGGATTTTGTGAGATAGCTATAGCACTTTGATTGTCACAAAAGATTGTCACTTCCTTTGTTTTGACTCCATAATCCAGTAGTTGTTGCTTTAACCACAAGATCTGAGCACAACAACTACCAGTAGCAATGTACTCTGCTTCTGCTGTTGATGTAGAGATGGAGTTCTGTTTCTTACTGAACCAAGAAACAAGATTTCCTCCAATGAATTGACAAGTACCAGATGTACTCTTCCGGTCAACTTTGTATCCGGCAAAGTCAGAATCTGAGTATCCAACTAACTCAAATGAACTGCTCTTAGCATACCTTAGACCCATATTCTGAGTTCCTTTGAGGTATCTAAGAATTCTTTTGGCTGCTATTAGATGACTTTCCTTTGGCTTTGACTGGAATCTGGCACAAACACCTACTGCATATGAGATATCCGGACGGCTTGCAGTAAGGTAGAGTAGAGATCCAACTATTCGTCTGTAGAGAGTCTGATCAACATCCTTTCCATCTACATCCATATCAAGCTTGGTGGATGTACTCATGGGGACAGAAACGGATGATTTCTAATCAACTTTGAATTTCTTGATAAGATCCCTAGTGTACTTAGCTTGGTTGATTAGAGTCCCCTCACTTCTCTGTTTGATTTGAAGACCAAGGAAGTAGTTGAGTTCCCCCATCATGCTCATCTCAAATTTTCCTTGCATGAGGGTGGAGAACTTGGTGCAAAGAGCTTCCTTAGTTGAGCCAAATATAATGTCGTCCACATAGATTTGACCCAATAAGAGATCTTCTCCATCTTGAAGTTTGAACAAGATTTTGTCAATGACTCCTTTGATGAATCCATTGTCTATAAGAAATTGATACAATGTATCATACCAAGCTCTTGGTGCTTGTTTGAGTCCATATAACTCCTTTTTGAGTCTGTACACTTGATCACCTTTAGTGTGCAACTCAAATCGTGGAGGTTGTTCCACATAAACTTCTTCCTCTAGGTTTCCGTTGAGAAATGCGTTTTTGACATCCATTTGTTAGACTTTGAAGTCCTTATGAGCAGCAAAAGCTAGAAACAACCTTATAGCTTTAAGTCTAGCAATTGGAGCGAAGGTTTCATCAAAATCTATACCTTCTTCTTGACAATAACCTTTGGCAACCAACCGGGCTTTGTTTCTGACAACAACGCCGTTCTCATCCATCTTGTTCCGGAAGACCCACTTTGTCCCAATGACATGTTGATGAGTAGGTCTGGGAACAAGTTTCCAGACGTCATTTCTGGTAAATTGGTTGAGTTCTTCTTGCATTGCATTGATCCAATCAGAATCAGCTAGAGCTTCTTCAATGCTTTTTGGTTCCACTTGTGAAATGAAACAAGCAAGCATGGCTTCTAGATTCTGTTGAGCACTCCTTGTGCGAACGCCTAATTGAATATCTCCAATAACTTGTTGAGGAGGATGATCCCTTAACCAACGAAGATTGTGTTGATTATGGTTTGCCAGTGTAAGTGCCAAAATGTCTGAACAGCTTGAATGCTTCCTTCTGATTTTCAGCAATAACCTTGAGGTAGTCTTGGGTTACCACCTGGTTTGCTGAGAGATCCAGAACCTCATTATCATGTTTTGATGGCTTGTCAACCACATGTTTTTCATCAAAAATGACATGTATTGACTCTTCAGTGAACATGGTTCTTTTGTTGAAGACTCTGAAAGCCTTGCTCACCATAGAATATCCTAGGAAGATGGCTTCATCTGATTTCTCATTAAAGGTGTTCAGATGATTCTTCCTGTTGTTTAACACAAAACACTTGCTCCCAAAATATGGAAATATGATATATTAGGCTTTCTCCCATTCCACAGATCATAGGGAGTTTTGTTGTGCCTTTTATAAATCATACTCTTATTTTGAGTATAGCAAGCTGTGTTGACAGCTTCAGCCCAAAACCTCTTTGGCAAGGAAGCTTCTACTAGCATGGTTCTTACTGCTTCCTTCAAGGTTCTGTTGCTTCTTTCAGCTACACCATTCTGTTGAGGTGTCCTTGCCGCGGATGTCTGATGAAGAATTCCGTTTTCTTCACAATAATGAATGATGATTTCATTCAGGAATTCTGTGCCTTTGTCAGATCTGATCTTCTGGATGGTCTGACTTGCTTGGTTTTGAATCAGCTTCATGCAGTTTGTGAGCTTCCCTTGAGTTTCCTTCTTGTTGTTGAGAAAGATTGTCCACGTGTATCTTGAGTAATCATCAACTACCACTAGGACATATTTCTTTCCACTTAGACTTATTGGAGTAACAGGGCCAAATAAGTCCATGTGAACAAGACTTAGTATCCTTGTAGTTAAGGGTGCCAGTTTTGTCTTGAAAGTAGACTTGACTTGCTTTCCTTTTTGACAAGCATCACAAATGCTTTCCTTTTTGAATACAGCTTTGGGAAGACCTTCTACTAATCCTTCTTTGGATAGTTTGTTGAGAGTTTTGAAGTTGAGATGACTCAACCTCTTATGCCAAAGCCATAGAAGGTTAGTGTCACCTTTGCTGATTAGACATGCTTCCTTGACATCGTCCCACATCACTTCATAGATGTTTCTGATTCTCTTCCCAGTGAGAATGACTTCATTTGTAGAGATGTTCTTGAGGGATGCCATGTCCTTGCAGAATTCCAGAGAATAACCTTTATCACAAAACTGACTTATGCTAAGAAGGTTATAGTTAAGACCTTCCACATAAGATACAGCTTGGATGGTTAGTCCCTTGTACACCAGATTTCCTAGCCTTTTTGTAAGGCCAAAATCATTGCTTCCTCCAAAAGTAACTCTTGGACCATCATAGGGAATTAGATTGCTCAAAAGGCTCGCATCACCCGTCATGTGTCTTGAATAGCCACTGTCTAAGTACCAGACACCTGGGTACTTAGCGGCTTTCTGCATTAGGAGGAGGAAGATTTTGGTACCCAATTAAGTTTGGGTCCAGAATAGTTAATGGTGTGTGTCCCTACATCAAGTTTGAAGTTGCAGGGAATTTTCCTTGCAGCCCTAAACTTGTTGGGGTTGTAGTCATAGTTGTAGGCATAAAACTTCCTACGTGCAGGTGGTGCAATTTCCTGTTTCCTCCTAGCAAACCTAGGTTGATAAGACCTATAGTTTTGTCTAGGTTGTGCATAGTGTGGCCTGTGTCGGTTGTAAGCATACTTAGGTGGAACGAATAGTTTCTTTGGTGGAGGATGACTATAATTTGGCATAGTTCTCCACTCAGAATTTCTTGAAAAACTCCTATCTACCCCATAATGAGTATAGCCTCGTGTATAGTGGGGTTTAGAAGGTTTTCTTCTGAAATTGTTTCCTTTTTGAGGTGTGTCCATCTTCCTATAGTTCTTAGGAGGGACTACCTTTTTGGGAACATCTATGGGTTTTTCCTTCTTCTTTCCTTTTTGCTTATTGGGTTTGGCAGTAGGTTTAGGAGGGATGAAAGTTGTTCTCCCTTTCCTTTTGGAACTAGAGCGGTCAAACCGAAGTCCTTCACGACCCTTATGTTTGGTCGTTTCGAGAAGCTTATCCACTGCTTCTTTGGACCTAAGTATCCTTAGCTCCTTATTGAGGGATTTCATCTTTTCAGAGAGAGATTCATTCTCAGCCTTAAGTTGAGTAATCTCAATTAGTTGACTTTTCCGACCTTTAGTCAACTTGAGATTCTCTTCACTCAATAGCTTGTTCTCTTCTGTTAAGGATGAGTGTTTAAGATTTATTTCCTCAAAATCTTCCATCATCCTTTTGAACTTGTCAAAAAGATTTTCAGAAGTTGGTATGCTTTCATAAGAAGATGAGCAGGAGGTTTGTGATGTTACCTCTTGTTCAGCATCATCTTTGGCCATTAGGCAGAGAGTGTCATCTTCTAACATGGTCCACCGATCCTCACGGTTGGACTTCTCAGCTCTGCGCTCCATGCAGGCGAGGGCTTCTTCATCCGAGCTTGAGCTGGATGACTCGTCACTTTCAGCAGCTACCATTGCCTTCTTCTTCTTCTCGTTTCTTTCTCTTTCTCCGTACTTCTCCACTTTAGGGTACGGGCATCCTGACTTCCAATGGCCAGGTTTCCTGCAGTTATAACACAAATAAGATTCAGGAGGGGAGTCGCTTACCTGTAGCTTTCCCTTGGATGGCCTTCTGACTGAGTCAGTTTTCTTGAAGAACTTTTTGAACTTCCGAAATTGTTTGACCATCATAGCAAATTCCTCATCGTAGTTTTCCATTTTTAAATTTGACGGCTGGCTGGAGGAAGGTGTGTCACAGTTCCTTGGGCATGTCCCTTCGCTTGCTGGGACTCTGGAGTTGTCATCAGTGCCGTGGGAAATGTAGTGACTTGTTCTTCCTTCTTCTTCTTCAGCTTGTGCTCATAGGTTCTGAGCTCATCAAGGAGACCTTGGACAATGTAGTTCTCCAGGTTTCTTCCTTCTTCCATGGTTGTGGCTTTAGTGTACCACTCAGTTGGAAGAGATCTCAGTAATCTTACATTCTTCTCTTTGGGAAAAAGAACGTGGTTAAGTGATGCAAGATCATTTAGGATTTTGTGGAATCTTTCATCCAACATATCAAATGATTCTCCGGGAAGCATTTTGAACCTTTTGAACTTCTCAAGCAGGACTTCTATCTTCTGCTTTCTTAGATCCTCTGATCCTTCGCACAGCTTCCCAAGACCTTGCCATATCTCCATGGCAGTCTTGAGATGCTTGATCTTAGAGAAGGTGATGGGATCAAGTGTCTTGAAGATGGCTGCTTTGGCGACGTTGTCCAGATTATGTTTCTTGCAATCTCTATCATCCCATTTCTCCATGGGCTTTGGAAAATACTGGACTACATCTGGATTGGTTGGATTCCTCTCAGGATTCTCCATTTGGATTTTCAAGGGTCCATCTTCAAGCACCATCCACATGCAGTCATGTAGAGCATAGAGGTGTGCTTCCATCGTGATCTTCCAATCATCATAACCTAGAAGAGAAAACTTGGGCAAACCGTGATCCATATTGTTCACCATTATGATCGCTTCTCGTTAATCTAAACGTAGATAGTGAGAAGGAAGCTCCGATACCAATTGGTGGTCCCAAAGTGGTGAGATACAAAGTCTAGACGGGGGGGGGGGGGGGGGG